TCTTGGTTCTATTTGCGGCAAAGCCGCCTATATCTAAGTCTGTAGGCTTTATTAAATGTATAACCACTGGCTGTTCCAGCCACTTACTGGCTTGTTGATTGAGTGTAGGCACGCCATTGTGTGGGCTCACCATCTGGTGTAACCCACACCTTTGCGTGATCCCACCATCTTGTGTGACCCACGCCCTTCATACCTGGGCACGTGAAACCTCGTTCCAGAATTGGCGTTGAGGTTTTTGAGTGCCGCATAGATCTTTTGTCACTCGAAGTTTGGATGTCCCAATAAATGATCTTGATCCAAAACAGAAGCCATACAAAAGCAGTTTAAATCTCAACAGATAACCTCGTGAACTCGGCACCTATAGTGTGGCGGCAGGGCTCTACCGAGATAACTTGCTAAGCTTATGATCTTTACAGATTGTGAGTTGTAAAAGATTTTAGTCAAAAGTTTAGCAAACTGGTGTTAGATTATGCCTATTGCGCAAGTTGCAATTGAATTTTATTTGGAATACTTCTTTCGACCGATTACCGGATCAGGTTTTTGTGATTTTCGTTAGACCCTTCTTTGTTTGACCGATCCACGCATTAGATTCTGGATTTATCATATGGTGGTACTATTGCGATTTGTCTAATGTTGCCCCCAATGATATTCGTGCTTAGTAAAAACACATCTCCCACGATAAAATTGGTGACTTATTCCCCACTACAAGCTGCCACACACCATGATGTCTGCTTTGTCCTCGGTGCATGACATGTCTGCCGGCGTTCTGTTCAATGTGAATCTCAATATTGTGGCTGCCAAGGTCCGTTAGCTTTGTCTTGCTATATCTTTTGACGTATAACTGTACACATGTATATAAGGGTATTAATTCTGGTGAGCACTTTGGGCTGGCGGCAATTTTTAGAGGCGAGCTCTCCTCGAGCGATGCATATACCCTGATTGAAATAAATGGCAAGCCGATGGCCTGGACACATCCAGCTTTCGACACTGTCAACCCCAAGTGGGACGAAAACTTTTACTTTCAGAACGTCCCAAAAGACTCGACATTCAAACTTAATTTACTCGATACTGACATTTATGGGGACGACGAACTTGGAGAAGCACAATTTGACACTAGAATTATATTCTGTGACAAAAGGACGGCGCTTGAGCTACCAATCACGCACAATGATCGCAAGGCTGGCATCATCAGCATTAAGGTTGGTCTTTGTTTCAAATATATAAGATATATATTAACATGAGATTCTTTTTAGGTCACTTGCCACCAGCTAAATGATACTGATATTGACGCAGTAATAGAGGAAGTCGGCCCCGTCCGCTATTCTGTACACTCAAGCCATTCTGTGGGCTTACTTAACATGTTAACATCTGATGACGAGAACTTAAAGTCTTTGGCTTACATTGTCCAGCTTCACAACATCCCATGCATCATGCCAGTCGACAATGAATGGAACAAGAAATATAAAAAAGCTCAGCATATTTTTTCACCGGATCATCCAGAAGGAATAGTGTTTCGTAATTTAGTCAAGACGCAACACGCCATGGTCTACGAGCATGAACGAGATAGCACGAAGTACGGCTTTCTCAAAACTCCTGCAGACTTTTTTGCGCTCATTCACAACGGATTACGTGACGACAGGCCTGTGCTCTTCACGTACGTAATAACGTCAAAGGGCTGGTTCTTTTCTGAGACGGGCGCTGGGTTTTTTAAAGACATGCAATCAAAGCACATGGTGCATTCGAATGCCGCCGATTCGGTGAAGTATGCCGGAGAGTTTCGAGTTGAGATCTCGAAAAATGGCTTGCACAAGCTGGTGCTTGATAACAATAGTGGCACTTATACTCCTCGCAAAGATGGATTGCCGCAGTTAAAAAAACTAATTGAGAACAATTTTCCAGGCATCAGATGCGAAACATTGGACAGCAAAGATGAAAAGTCGATCTCGAGGCGTAAGGAAATACTTGACACATGGGAATAAATAGCGAAATTAACTCATGTAAATATAAACGAGCAGATGGATTTTTTGTTATTCATGTTAAGGTTACGTGAAATGAAGCTGCCAAAATTTAAACAATTGGCTCAGCAGATGATAGTTTTCGCTAGACAACGAAAGTAAATAACATGCTCTCTACATTGCCGAAAGCTGCGAGTAGTAATGGCGTGTTACAGCAGCCGAGAGATGGTCAACTTGTTGTAGAAGACGGTTTGCGTTCAAGCCACGTGCTGACCGTTCAATTTGACCACAAACTAAGCTTGGCTAAGACTTTATTTCATCGTGATAAACAACGCTAGCAATTACATTTCAATAAGATATTCAACAGTGAATGCGTGATGATAATTAACGTTAGTCGGATCATTTGAGTTTACGTCGACGACAGCATTTAAAGGACGCATGCAACTGCATCATAAGATTCATTATGATAACGAACTCATGCTTTTTTATACATGCATCCATTGAGCTACAAGCGTTTAAATATCGTGATCATGTACATGACACTTCGATACTGTGGTCACATGTTCAAAAAAATTGAAGATCTTTACGTGCAATTGTCTAGGCATAGCGTGTTCACAATATCTACATGCATGTCACCAAATTTGCTATTTTGAGCGCGCTTCGCACTCGTAACTCCGCACTTAACAGTAATATGTAGCGATAAATAAAAATCAAGACTAGAGAACCATCCACCCATCTTCCAACCGTCCAAAGCGAATAATTGCATTACGCGGAATAGTAACTAATTCTTGTGGAGCAATTTGTGCTGAACACGTACACAAGGCGACAAATTCGGACAAGCGAGAGCTAACACTGATTTATGAACACAGAGATAAGCCTTGCTTAATAAATAACGGCAAATAAACTGACAAATACCACAAGTTTTGGTTTTTGCTTTACGAATCATTATATATAAAATAGTTATTAGTCTCTTCAAATCTTTGAAAAAGTTCTTCACCAAAGCTGAAAAAAAACTAATGAATTTTCACAATTTTATTTGCACTTTAACATCGGATGTACTTCCGTACAATTGAGTTATGAAGAAGCAGTTTACCTATGTAATCGACCGGCAAAATGTAGGGCCTTGTCACCTTATATTTGAGGCTTACAACATGGGTGTAATCATCGGCCACAAGCGATGATTTTACTTCTGACTCGGGAAATAAGCTTATACGTACTATTTTGATCATATCCTAGACAATGCAATATGATGTTTTAAGTATCAACGATAATTATTCTGATATCAAGAAATCAGCAATTATAACTACTTAAGGGTCAATATTGCACTTCAAAAATAGACATTGGGGAATGAGTATAGACATACTGACTATATCGATACCTCACCAAGCTACTTTTCACAAAGGACCAAAGAGTCCGCATTGACAGCGCACAGAGGCTGAGTTCGTACGCTTAGCCCAAGACCGATAGCCATTAAAGCAAATGAGTCTTTAATTTGCTCTGCCATCCAAAGAGAGTTAATTATGTATGATTTTTCTATCTAGACAAATACTCGTTCTTAGGCCAAAGGAAGCCAACGGCGATCAAGAGACTGCAAATTGATAACACTGAGATTGTGAATAAATGTCTTTCGAAGGCAGCAATAGCTATCATTGCCATGATGTAACGGGGTTACACATACCATGGTAACAGGGGTGTGTGTGTCACACAAGATGGGCATGGTGTGACCACACCCAAACAAAAATACGGTGCGGGGCTAGATAGCCGGTAGTTATACATGTATTTAGATTAAACTATATATATTAAGGAAAATCTATACATTTAAAATCAGGCGGTTTAGCCGCAAATTAAATAAATAAAAATCAGTTTTGAATTGAAACGGAAGAGTTAATTAGCCTTGAATTAAGGTTGTAATTACTCTTGGAGTAAGCGGATTGCGATCCCCTAAACTCGTACTTGTTCTAAGTTTAAAACGATAGGTCGGTGACCTAACGTACGCTCCTCTATTACGGCAGCCATGCTGCACTTGGTGGCACTTGTAGTCAATCTACACCTGAATCGTTACGACTGATCCTCAGTGGAGATGGAACAATTTTCCTCTTTGCTACAGGGCATGCAGGACGGGCTTAACAAGCTGATGTCGTTTATGGACTCTGAGAGCGCGCAACACCTTGCAACGCAAGGCCCCAAGGCAATCGGTGCGCGTCTAGAGGCGTTATCATACTACGTATACGCTGCTAGAGCACCTGCAGCAGAAGATGTCTGCATCATTTGCGTCTATGACGCCACC